AAAATGACAACTTGTATGAACTATGCTAATTGTAAACTATTATTTGTAAGCTACTTCTAAATTACATTATTTGTAAGTTAATATTCGTAAACTACTTTTAAACTACCTTAATTGTAAACTATTCGAAAAACAAATTCTGAACTATACGTAAACTAAAATTCGTAGACTACGTCTAAACTACATTATTTGTAAACTATTCGTAAAACAAATTCTGAACTATACGTAAACTAAAATTCGTAGACTACTTCTAAACTACATTATTTGTAAACTATTCGTAAACTATTCCTGAACTATATGTGAACTAATATTCGTAGACTACTTCTAAACTACATTATTTGTAAATGAATATTCGTAAACTACTTCTAAACCAAATTTGTTAACAATGTGTAATTTACTTCTGAACTATATGTAAACTAATATTCGTAGACTACTTCTAAACTACACTATTTGTAAATGAATATTCATAAACTACTTCTAAACTACATGTAAACTAATATTCGTAGACTACTTCTAAACTACATTATTTGTCAATGAATATTCATAAGCTACTTCTGAACTGTTATTTGTAAATTAATATTTGTAAACTACTTCAAAACATTTTTATATGTAAAATAATATTCGCAACTACTTCTAAGCTACATTAATTGTAAACTATTCATAAACTCCTGAACTTTTTTATATGTAAATTAATATTCGTAAACTACTGAAGGAGGAAATTTTTTTGTAAATTATTATTTGAGTTATGAGTTATAATAAGGAGTTGTATGTAAACTAATATTTGTAAACAACTTCTAAACTTCACTATTTGTAAACTACTTCTGAACTATATTATTAGTTGACTATTCATACTTATGAAGTATTATTTGTAAATTCATATTCGTAAACTACTTCTAAACTACATTGTTTGTAAATAAATGTTTGTAGACTTCTTCTGAACTTTGTAAATCGTAAATTAATATTTGTAAACTACTTCTGAACTTTATATGCAAACTACTATTCATAAACTACTTCTAAACTGTTATTTGTAAACTATTAGTTATAAACTACTTATGAACTCTTTTGTGAATTAATATTCGTAAACTGCTTCAGAACTTTTTTTGTAAAGAAATATTCGTAAATTATGTCCAAACTTTTTTATTTGCAAACTAATATTCGTAAACTACTTCTGAACCTTTTTATTTGTAAACTAATAATCGTAAACTACTTACAAACTTTTTCATTTGTATATTAATATTTGTAAACTACTTCCGAACAGTTATTTATAAACTAATATTCGTAAACTACTTCCGAACCTTTTTATTTGTAAACTAATATTCGTAAACTACTTACAAACTTTTTTATTTGTATATTAATATTCGTAAACTACTTCCGAACAGATATTTATAAACTAATATTCGTAAACTACTTCTAAACTTCATTATTTGTAAACCACCATTCATAAACTACTTGTATACTAATATTCATAAACTACTTCTGAACTATTATTTGTAAACTAATACTCGTAAAATACTTCCAAACTTTTTTTTTGGTAAATATTCATTAACTACTTCCAAACTTGTAAATGAATATTAGAAAAACTATACTTCCAAGCTGTTATTTGTAAACTAATACTCGTAGACCACTTCTAAACTTCATTATTTGTAAACTACCATTCGTAAACTCCTTCTGAACTACTGCACATTATTTGTTAATATGTTGTTTGTAAACTAATTTATTCATAAACTACCTATGAACCATGTAAATTGTAAACTACTATTCGTAGACTACTTCTAAACAATACTATTTGTAAACTACAACGTATAAACCACTTCTGAACTGTTATTTGTGAACAACTATTAGTAAACTACGTGATTTGAAAACTAATATTTGTAAACCATTTTGTAAATAAACTAAATATTTGTAAACTAATAATCATAAAGTACTTCTCAACAACCCTATTTGTAAACAATAATTCATTAAGTACATACTTTGTAATCCATTTAAAAACTGATTTAATACAGAAACTTAATTAAAAATACAACTACAACAATTTGTTAACTATTTTATTAAAAAAAAAAAAATCCTTAAATTACTTTTATAACATACCGGATTTGTAAACTACTTTTTGAACACTATATCGAAACTATCGAAGGTCTTTGTGAACTTCGAAGCTACCTGATTTAGAAACGGGAATTTGGAAACAATAACTTTTCGTAAACTAATTTGAAATAATTTTTAATTTACATTTAAACTACTACAGCCGGATCAGCTTGAAGTCAGAGGTTGCATGTGACACTTGTCAAGGGAATGATGCCTGTTCAATGTGACAATGCTAATCTCTGGCAGGGGTTAAAGGTTAAGGCTAGGGTTAATTTGAAAATTGAATCAGAGGCTCAAAGAGGAACCAATGAATGAACAACTCCACTAAACAAAGACAAATATTTGACAGCTACTCCGTCAAGTATCAGCGCTAATTCCCCAGATGAGACCTTTTAAAAGCACATTCGCTCATGACGTCAGGCTGGGGATTTCAGTTAAAAAGCCACTGAAGGAAAAAAATCACTGTATGGCAGAGTTGAAAGATTTATAGATATATGTGAATTCTGAATGTTCGCAGTCTGCCAAAAAATAATAATTATAATAATAAAATCAACATGAAATTCTAGAGCTAAATCATATTAATTGATATTATAGTACAAAAAAAAAAAATAAATTAAAATAAATTAAAAATTGAATAAATTAACACAAATGAAAAAGAAAAAAATTAAATATGTAGTTTTATAACTGCAAAACATTTTTAAAAATCAATATTTAAAGTTTCATAGTGTTTTATACGATAACTAGAAAGTTTTAATGTAATTAATTTTAAAAATTAACACGTGAAATATATACACAACAATATACACCAAATTAGATATGTAAACTTAGCTCATTTGTTTGTTCATAAAGACATAAATCCTGACAACAATACCATTTGTTGCCTAATATTATTTGTAATAATAATAATAATAATAAATGTATTGTTTATAATAAAATAAATAATAGTAATAATTACAATTATAAATATAATAATTGTGATGATAATAATAATAATACTGACAATTATAAATATAATACATATAATAATAATAATATAAAAATGACAATAATAATGATGATAATAATATTAATAATGATAATAATAAATATAATAATAATAGTGATAATAATAATAATAATAATAATAATAATAATAATAATAATAATAATAATAATAATAACTAAACTGTTGTTTGCTAAATTGTTGTGATATGCATTTTTATATCGTTGAGCATTTTGCATATCAATTTTTACCACTAGGTTTGACAGTACCAGTAAACGCAAACTGAGTCAAAACGGTGTTACAGTGACATCTGTCGGTCATGAAAAGAAACTGACTGGGAATTTCCAAAACAATAGAATTAAGTCTAGCTTTCACTGCTGAAACCCATTCATTTCATTCATACACACACAAAACACTACTTGACAGAAGAGTTCACCCTAAAATCTGAAAATTCAGAAATCTGTACATCTTCAGAATAAAAACATGGATATTTAAAATCAAATTTGTCTCTTTATTGAAAGTCAATTGAAATAGAACTCATGAAAAATGAACGCATCAAGTCTTCTAATTTAAGATGAACAGATTTATATTAGGCTTTTATTCACATCTAATCACTCCTCCAAACGTAAATAGCATAACATATAAAAAGCGCATGACACATTTTCATATGTTTACATTCATTTTTAGACAACGCAAACTTCACAAGGAGTTTTGCAATCAATATTTTGTGAAAAGACCAATGACAATGTTTAAAAAACGCTCTAAATGATACACATTTTTATTTGACATTTGTTGGAAATATTTCGATCTTTACAGAAGAAACATCGTTTATTTTATAAAAGTCAAAATATGCTCAACAAATGTCAAATAAAAATATGTATCATTTATAGAATAAGCATTATTGTTTACATTAAACTCCAGAGAGGAAAACAAAAACATTGAAAATGTTTGTAGGATATGTTTATATTTGTGACTCCATGTATTTAGAACTTGTTAAAAAAGCAAAAACTAAATCTGTTCATAAAAATAACACTTCAAAACACTTTGCGTTTATTTACAGTTGCTTTGATACAGGGGTGTATTTTTGAAGCGTGACGAATCCCTCATTTCTCTTCTGAAGATGAATATATCGAGAAGTTTGTAACAACACAAAGCCAAGTATAATCGATGACAGAATTGTCATTTTGGCGTTAACTAGGGCTGCACAATATATCGCAAAATTAACGTTATTGCGATAACAATAAATACAAAATACATTTAAATCGCATACTTTAAGCCTGACCTCAAGTTCAAAATACGAATTTAAAAAGAAGGCGCGGCACCAAACCCCTCCCCTAAACCCAATCGTCATTGGGGGATGATCGAATCGTACTACATTGTACAAATGAGATCGTAAGAATTCATGAGAATTAGCCTGTGAATCAAAGTTACGAATTGCTGTGAGATTGTTTTGGATAAATTACATTTATTTTATGCATTTGGTTGTTTATCTAAATTTGACCAATCAGATGGAGCCTTGCTATCTTTATCCCCGCCTCCCCATTTGATCTGTTCTGTTATTGGCTGGAGGGCCCCAAAGGCGAACCCAAAGCTAAAAAACATAATGGCGGGAATAGAGATGAGAATGGAAAATGGCAACAGCCAATCAGAGTCAGAATATCTGCTGAGGTTTTCACTTATCAATAGTGTTTTAAAGAATAAATGTTCGCACCCTGACGTAGTTTTAAATTAATCTAAAACTAATAACACAAATGACTTCAAGGAAAATGTTATAGTGTGGGAAACATCGTAATCGCAAAACTCGAATATTGCATATTTTTTCCAGTATCGTGCAGCCCTAGCGTGAACTAAAACCATTGGAAGATTAGCATTTAACAAGCAGCGAATCCTACCGATCACACTTACCTGACATAATGAGCGTGCGAATGAGCGAACGTACCTGCTTGATGGGTATGGCCCTTCCACTGCCTATACTGTCAGTTTTACTCTCAATGCTCTTTGTCTGATCACTGGCTTTCCGTGACTGTAAAGAAACAAGACAAGATATCAGTGCAAAGCTCTGAACACAAACGGAGGTGGGGAAGGTGTAAGGGTGTGCGTGTCTTAGCTCTAGTGTGTGTTTGTGTGAAGTGTGGGGTGTTGGTGCGTTTGTCGGACAACAAAAATTGCAAGTAAAAAAAGGCTGAAATAAAAAACGCGCAAGCAGAACGGTGCAAACATACAGCAGCACACTGAACGTGCAGTATATAGATATATATATATATAGATTTACACAGACCAGGACAGACACACAAAACAAAACGGACAAATATCAAATCGGACACTAAAACCCCCCTAAAGAGCTCTTTTTTTGTGATCTCTGGCGCCTCCTTGTGGCTTTACCAACCACAGACGCATCAAAACAAGTCACCAAATGCAGTTTTACATACAAAGAGGGGAAAAAAAGAAAGAAATTAGTATGCAGCATATTTCCAGAGGATTCCACCTGATATAAGAGGGAAAAAAAGCCATATTAGGGTTAAATCAAGCAATGCACTTTTAGATCAGGATTTCGAGTCGTCTTCGGAAGCAAGACTTGCCTGTAAATGTCATTTTGGAATAAAGTACACTCACACAAAAGAAATCAAACACATCCACAGCTCAACACAAACCACTCATACCCGACAGACAACATCATGGTCTCATACGAAACAAGATGGCGCTCATTCGCAGATGGGGTTTCTAGTCAAATAAACTAGGCCGATGTTTCGTTTTCAACAGTTTATTTTTTCGTTTTTGTGGATATATACAGACACCATACAAATCAAGTCACAGGTTTACGTGGAAATAGTCAACAGGCAGAGCCACACATTGCAGTTCCCACAAGAGAGAGAGTTCGACTAAAGAGGCGCTGTTTCATATATCTCATATATGTATAGAATATACTTTCTATAGAATACCAGTGGAAATCAAATTCAATACAAGATATACGGCAGTCTATATTTGTCCATTATTGAATGATATAAAAAAAACAAAAAAAAACAACGCATGGAACAGTTCATCGTTAACCACATCGTCATGAAATTCAACAGAACTGAAAAACAATTGAACAAAATAATGGCTCTGGGTCACAAAGAGATACTACATTCATACAAGTCGGTGCATTTCTGTCTACGCTTATGAAGGCCTTCATATGTCGTTCAAACTTCACGCCGAGTGTACAAAAATCAACCGATCGTCGCCGCGGCACCTGTATCAACTAAACGAACAGCTTTATAAACGAATCACAGCATAACGTGACGTTTCACAGTTAGGTGGTGGTCAGCATATTGGTCGGCATCGAAAAAAATAACGTAAATTAAGCTATGTCATCCGGAAAAATCTGGATTCACATCTTGAGGGATGCGGACCGTGCAGCATCAGGACCTCGACTAGCATCACATGATGTGGTTTACAAAGCCGCGGTCTTGTTAATAAAGGTGAAACGGAGACGCGAGGTGTGTTTGTGGCACTCGGCGTGAAGTGTGACTAGCTAAACTACCCCATCAGACACAGAACGAAGAAAAAGAGAAGACAAAGGAAGAAAAACAAAACAAAACAGAGAGTATCTTGGCAAAAAATCTCCTCCTAGAATTGAAAGTTCTGTCCATTTGGATCACCAAGCATCTTTTTGTTTGTTTGTTTGTTTCTTAATTAAATTTCAGGGTCGTTGTTGATGGCTATTGTCCGTGATTGTTCGTGAGAAACGTTTAGCGGTAAAGTGACTGATAACGATTCAGTTCAATGTGACGCAAGTTCAATTTTTTTTTCTGTCCAACCAATGTCCTTTAAACTCAACCATGGCTGCCAAGTGGGCATGAGTTCCAAGAAAGCCATGGTAATGCCCACAATGCGGGCTATTAGAGGGGGGGGGGTAAAGTAGCGCTTGTTTCCCCTCCCACAATGCATTGCGTTCACATTACCACCATAACAAGGGCTTGTTTAATTGAGGAGAAGCTGGAAAGCCCTTTTAGTTGAAGAAAGGTTGGAAACAGAAGAACAAATCTGGAAATATCGACAAAAAGAGTTCAACACTTTTGGACACGGAGAGAGCGTGGACAGAAAGTTTGTAGAAAGATTAAAAAAAATAGCAAAAAGACATCAACAGGAGATGGTGGGAGGTGTGGAATGGTTGGCTTTTTACAAGGAAAATTAGTGATGATTATGAAATACTGAAATAAAATAAACCCCTTCCCTCTTCCTGTGCACTCACAAAATGGAAAATAAACAAGACGCCACATCTGACCAATGACAAAAATGGTCGTTTTAAAGTATCATGGAAGCACTGTGCTTGGTTTTCTGTCCTCTGCTGACATCTAGTGGCAAAGACACACACTTTAGAAACGATGTCAATGAGGGGGTGTGATGAAATATGGGGTGAAAGGAAATATTACTTAATCAGCAAACTGTTCTTTTTATATTATTCAATAATTAAATGAGCTTTAGTCTTTAAATATTTGAATTATATTATAACATCTTTAACAAAATATTTTATATATGGCTTTCTTTATTATTTAGCATGGAACAAAACCGTTAACTGCAAACAAAAATGAAAAAAATATTTAAATATTTTTCTCCCCTAAATATTTGGCACTGATATATATGTATGTATGTGTATGTATGTATGTATGTATATATATATATATATATATATATATATACACACACACACACACACACACACACACACACACACACACACACACACATATATATATATATGTGTGTGTGTGTGTGTG